CGGGGCGGGGCGGTGGTAAACAATAATACTGTAACGGTGCAGCAGACCCCGCGCGCCCCGCCCCGTCGTCCGGTCGCTCGGTCGCGCGTATGCATGCAGGCCCATTACGTCACCGCGCGCGTCACTTTCAGGTCACTCGGCCAGGACGGCCGCGTGGCGTGGCGCGGCGTGGCGCGGTGCTAACGAGCAGGCGTGCAGGAGGCGTCGGTCAGCGCGGGCGCAGCGTGTCCTCGCCGCCGTGTACTTCATCACCTCACCTGCTCTCGGGACTTGCGCGCGCGGAACCGGGGAGGCGGAGGAGAGGGGCGGCACCGAAATCTCTTGATCACTTTCGCGTGCATTACGCCCCTCCGAAGGGCTGTCCTCGTCGCGCACGCTGGAGTGGGACCATTCTACTGCCGACCTGACAAGCGGCCGTGACAATAGGCCTGCAGTGCGTGCCGTGCGCCTCCCCCTCGTCCTCCTCCCCCCACTACTTAGGGCAGCGCCCCTTACTCGTCCCTTCACGCCCTTCTTCTCTCCCCCTCTCGCCCGCACGCCCTTCCGCTGCGCCCCCTGCGGCTGGAGGCGCAGCCTGCCTCCAGCCCAGAGCAGGCCAGGACACCGCGCCTCTGTTCCATTAGAGATGAGCGCCACGCTCGCTGGCGAGCAGCTCCCCCCGGTGCACTGTGTGGATGAGATGGCTGCTCGCGATATGGCGGGTATGAGGGGTATGGCGACATAGCCGAGCACACACAAGCACTGCACACAAACACGCTCGAAGACAGCTGCATGTGTAAAGTGAACCCCGACCCCGCGTCGTGTGAACCGTTGTAGTTGGATGAAAAGTACACGGTAAAAACAACGCACTGATTTTCATGAATTTCTTTTAGAAGGCCCCGAAGCTTGGGGAAAACTCCTCAGATTTGGAGGAAGTTAACTCAAAAAGGGAGGAAAAGTCAAGTCCCATACATTTACTGAAGAGACTTGAGTGGGAAGCGGCCTCAAAATCTGAAGGGCCTTATTGCTAAAATTATCTGAGTTTCTCTACGTTTTCCCTCAATCCTAAAAAAATCAGACATTGTTTTAGCCTATACCGCGGTTTTTACCGCGCGCAGCCAGTACGTATGCGAGTCCAGGCGTCTTTCAGCAGACGGATCATTTAAAAGCAAACATTAGACGACATATTTTTGAACGACGACAGGGCTGTGGTGTCAACGCGCCGCGGCTTACAGTGTGATGAACCCGCCGCGTGATTTCAAATCCGCCCCCCCCCTTCTCCACTCTTTTTTGCCCCCTGCCAGGCGCTATTGTGTACTGCGTTTTCATCTGCGTTCCGTTTGTTCGTTGCTCCCTGCCCCTCCTCCTCATCTCCTTTCGCTTTGAATCCTCTTTTTCGTGCTGTTTGCCCCCGCGTTGTTTCGTAGGTGGTGCTGACTCTGACAGCTCGAGTATTCTCCTCACCTCTCCACTCAGCTCCTCTTCATCAGCCGCTCTGACTCCCGTTCTACCCCCCTATCCCCCTACCCCTCTACCCCTCTACCCCCCTACCCATCTACCCCCTACTCTTCTACCCCCTTCTACCCTCCTACCCCCTTCTACCCTCGCCAATCCCCGCCTGGCCCGATCAATGCCACTGTGCTATTGTCACTTGACTTGCCTCGGATGATGCGACTCCGCCTTCGTCATGCAGTCGAACGGTCGGACCCTGCCCATGGCGGCCCCTGCCGAACTTTACAGTACAGAACCGCGAAGGCCTGTCGGTGGACACTGCGGCACCAACTCGGGGCAGGGCAGAGCCAAACCGATTGCGTAAATTACAAGACGCCGGCCCATGGGGAAACACCAATCTGCGTTTTCTCCGAGGTTTTCTCCCCCTTCGGCTGACGTCTCGGACGCCGGCCGGCCTGGGCAGCAGGAGAGCATCACTCTCGTACACTGCAAGTTGTTGCTGGCCACATGAATCCTCTACAGATGCGGTTTGAGGTTGGTATGGAACATACGTGTTTTAGAAATCAAACGAAAACTCACCAAGATCGAAAAAACGTACCTGAAATATTCTCTTTGATTATGGACAGCTAATTCCGCAGCTCATGACACAAAGCAACATTTAGATTTTTCGGGGGCTTCTGAAACCATTGGCATAAGAAAGGAACCCGAAAAGGCGAGAGGCAAGGTGGCCGAGAGGGAACCAGAGAGCAGTGCGCTCTGCTCGAATGATGGCAGGTCGAAGGCTGCAATCCGTTGCCGTGCTGGACGCTTACGCTATCGACGGCGAGAGACGTAGCGGCAGTGGGGCTGCTCGAGTATGGTCCGGTGGTCCTGCCCTGCAGTGCCCTGCGGCCTGGCGTGGCGGGGCGTGGTTCCTTATTGTCGGGGCTGGTGGTGCCCGGCGGTGCTGGTGGCGCCACCGGCCGGGCCCCTTGAGCCGGGGGACTTCCTGTTCGCACGAGATGCTGTTGATCAAGTCGCCCCTTCAATCACCGCCGGGGACAATGACTGGGAAAGGGTTGAGCCCTTTAGAAAAGAAAATGGTGGTCTAGAAGAAGTCAGGCACTAGATGCGACCCATAAAACCGCATAAAACACCCGTGCATCCGTTGGATATTTGCCTACTTTATATCTAACACGGGTGTTGAATTGTGGACAAGGTGAAAACGCGCCCTGGTGTTCCCAGGAGTCTTCTTCATTTTCCAGTGGAGTTGGATGAGTTCT